TTTTTTGTTTTTTCGTTTTTACACTTCCGACTTCTCTAAAAACCTGAATTATATATATGTGTATTATATGTCGCGCGATAAACAATTGTGTTTTAGGGTTTTTCTTCTCGCTTGTACGTTTCTCTCTCTCTCTCTCTCTCTCTCTCTTTCTCTCTTATTAACATGGATGTGTTGTGTCGAAGATTCTAGAAAAGGGCAGGGCAGTGATTCGACAGTGATTCTTATACAGCGTGAAATCGCGTGCTCGTACCGCTACACCCGCTTCTTCACTCCACCCCACCTCTCCAACCCCTCCCCCAACCCCAAATAATAATCTTTTCTTTGGCCTAATCGAATCCCCCCAGTCTTTTTCCGCAGTATTGTTCTCTCGTTCTTTCGAGCGATGAAACGAAGAAAAAAAAAAAAAAAAGAGAAAGATCAGAGGTGGAAAAGAGTTTGACCGCCTCGAGTACTGTGTTTTCTCTCCTTTTTCTTTTTTTTTTTCCTCTTTTATCCCGTTAAGACGCGTCCCCTCAAATTTCCCCTTATCCCCTTACTCGTGTAATATTGCACATTCGCTAAATGAGCCGCGTGATCTCGCGGACGAGACGAAAAGAAAACGCGGAGAGGTGTGTGAGCGCCCTCCTCCACCTGCCCTGCCTTGCCCTGCCCTGCCCTGCCCTGCGTTCGTCGTTCATTCACTATCTACGTCGAACTATTTATATTCACCTCTCTCACTCGTTCCCCATTCTTATAAAACCTGAACAAGAGAATATCATCGTTATCAATATCGTATGAATATAATATATATATATATGTAATGTATGTATATATATATACAAGTTCAAAATATTATTATTTTTAAAGAGTTAAAAATATAGTCTGTAATTTGCGCGCACGACGGACCTGTACACGTTTCCCTTAAGAGCCCAAACTAAACTTCTCTACTTGCACTTTTCTAACTTTCTTCTCCTCCTTCCCTCCCTTCCTCCCCCTTCTCCCGCCCTCCCCAGCATTACGCCCACATTATTTACGTCCCCACGCGAAGAATCCTCCCCTTCCTCTCCCTTCCGATCCACGCTGCCTCTCACGCTTCGCCCCCACCCCTCTCCCCCTCTCCACACGACAACCTCCCACCACCCGTTTCTTCTTCCCGAAATTTGAGCACAATTATTTGTAATTGAATTTCATTATTTAGGCCTAAGATTTATCCTCGATCTACGATCTATTTCCAAAAATTCCGTATTCCGAATACCTTTATCGCGAATTACCCTCCCCTTTGTGCGCGTGTACAAACTTCAGCGACGTTATGCTCACGCATACCCCACTCACGCATTCTCTCTCTCTCTTTCTCTCTCTCTCTTTCACTCTCTCTTTCATCACCCTCCCTCTTCGTATCCTTCATCTTCCAAACCCTTCCCT